GAGAAACATTGCTTTACAAACCATAAGACTTAATAAAAATTAGATATTTTGTTTATGAAAGCATTGTAATGTTTACTGATAAACTGTCAAGTTTCATTAACATTTGCTTACTAATTTAAAAGTTATAGCATGAAAACTATAACAAGTACAAAATGGTTACAAGGTCAGTCCCAGGGAACGAGTCTGGGTTGAATGAGTTAAAAGAGAAGGAGAGGAATTAAAGCAAATGGGAAAAAAAAACCTGGTTGATCAACTCCAGGAGAAGAGAAGGAAACCTGGGCACATCCACTGGAGCTAAACATGACTGTGTAGGATAGGGAGAGAAACAGGCTGCTGAAATCATCATCCTTTTGATCAGGTACCCCTGAACAAGGCATGACAGGATAACCTTCAGGCAAATCAGAAGCCTGCATGAAGGTAGCCAACTTCTGGCAAACAAAGGCTGTAATGTCTTCCACCAATAACTAAGGACACAAAGTCATTGTAGAGGAAGTAAGGTTAACTGCAGTAGGAACAGCAGTGGTAGTAGTTGTAATGTTAAACTCAGAATTCATGATAACTATGAGTGGAAGTAAAAAACCACACAGAGAGCTCCAAAGAAACATGCACAAAAATTTAAGACATAATATTAATGTGTACAAACGAAATTAGTAGAACTGAAGTGTAGCAAATGTAAAAAAACAACACAAGAATTAAGTTATCATAAAAAACAATTAACTGATTGAAAATTCCATGAAGAAAAGCATGAGTGAAAATCATGTCTTAACACCATAAGTGCCAATCAAGAAGTGAGACTGAGCTATGTTACACAGGAGTCAGCTGTGCTAGGAGTTGTACCATACTCCTATCAATGGAGGGTTGTTGCATGCTCATTTGAATGTTATCACACAGCTGCCTCATGTGAGGGTAGGTGGGAGTACCAAGGCTAGTGACAAGTGAAAATTTGCAAACATAGAGGGCAGCCCAAGTCAAGAAAAGCTATTATGTTAGCGGAGGTAAGATATCATATCGGAATTATCATGTTTACAATAATGATACTAATTATTTTAACTAAAATATATGCTAGCACTTATAAGACATGATAAATTAAGCTAGTTATTGTAACAAATCTTAATGTATCATCAATATTTATATGAAACAATTTAATCACAGCTCATCTCCAACCTACACATTTAAGATACACTAATAAGCTTACCTGTTTTTTTCAAGCTCATTGTGCGTTGTCCTAAAAAGAGGAAAAAAAAGAATATTAAATACTCTGAATTATTATTTATAATATTTTAAATCACTTCTTTTACAAGCTATTGAAAATATCATATACAGAGTTTAAAACAAATGAAGAAATATTGAAAATGGACAAAACAAAGTGTAAACTAAAAGCAGACATCCAAAAATAAGTGTCAGTATTTAGGACACATTATCAGAACAAATGAGATTTAAAGGACTTTGACACAAGGCAAGGTGGAAAGCTGTAGAAAGAGAGGTCGACCATGGAAAAAATAGGCCACAGATGTCACAGAGTGGTTGCAGTCCAACTATAGTGATTGTGTAAGGAAAGCACAGAACAGATGTGGATGGTGAGCACTGACAGCTAATCTCCTGGGTGGAGCAGCTATAAGCAGATGATGATGACCGGACATATAATTTACTTTTTATTTAAAGCAATATATATAATAAGTCTTATGCAAGTATTACAGGTTAAGCTTTGCATTTTCAATTTTCAAATCAAGCATATTGGGTATATGTCCAAAGCCAGTGAAACTTCATTATGTTTCTAACAATAGACAAGAAGTGTAGCAGTCTAACAGATAGGTTTAGATGAAAACTGTAATGAAAAAATTAAAATAATCCTTCAATCTACTGAAAGAAAAAGTTTCACGATGTATCTAATGAGCAATAAAAATTGTACAATAACTGACATAAAAATGATACAAGACCACTCTTATCCAAAATATATATACTTGCATTTATTGTTTGTACACTTTGATATATTATAGTTCATCCTTTCATGATCTGTTACCAATAATCTATTAAAATGAGGAAGACATCATACCAACATTTGATTAATATCTTCATTGCTAAATGTACATTTTTTACAAAAGGTATAAATAATACATATCATTTTTTATGAAAGTTGCAAGTTGAGTTGGGTGATTAGTGAATTTGCTAGTTGATTAATTGTTGAAGTCATCAATTGATTACATTCAATTTATATGAGATGGCTAGAAAAATAGCCATTTATAATGCTAAAAATCTGGTTTTGATACTAGCAGTGGACAGAGCACAGACAGCCCATTATGTATTTTTGTGTTTAACAAAAACAAATATAATGACACTGTTTCAATTACTTGGATAGTTGGAATAATCAGAAACTCTTATTTTGATAAGTTGACTATTTTAATGAGTCATGACATTAATCAATTATGCTGAATAAACTTGAATTAATCAATAATAATGAAAAATTGTAATGGCAACATTTTGATTACTGTATAGTTGGAATAGTCAGAAACACTAGCTGATGATTGATGTGACACTAATCTACGTAATATATGATCATAGGTATTTTATTATATTGATGAATCAACTTAATCACCCAGCTTCAGAAGTTGCAACATACCTCAAAATTATATAGAAAATATAAAATATTTGGTTAATTGATCTGTTTATTCAAAAGTACTTAAGAACATTTTAACAACTTGAATGTGGGCATTCTATTGGTAGTAATAATCTCAAAATCTTACTAATAATTTGTGTTAAATAATGTTTATAATTAGTATAGTTTAACAATAGCAGAAATGAAGATTTCTGTAATTATATCTACTTATCTCTTTCTTACTCTTTCAATCCACGATTATCTATTTCATGAAATAAAAAAGCAAATGTTAAAAGTAAGCATAATAAATATCTAAAATTCTGGATGTAGCCAACACATTTTGTAAATAAATACTATGATATAGATAAAAAGGGTGTACATATAAAAATACACATACATTGATGATCACTAAAGTTAACCTGGCATCTAACTGGGTTAACTCTGTTGAAATGTTGACATGCATGTATGTATGTATTTTCTTTTATATTCCCTTTTCATATGTTATACCTTAAGTATAATAAATAAAAGATAGTGTGTGTTTTTTTTACATATTTCACCTTTTCTTAATGGTAGGTCTGGATTACACATCTCATATGTCTTTTGTCATATTCATAGTAACCTTAGAGGAGAAACCATTAAAGACTATCATAACCATAGGCATTGCAGTACGTAGATTACCTGATCCCCCAAACAAAATATAAAAGAAAATAAATAAAACTACAAGCAAGACTACTGTACTGTTTAGTTTACTGGGTAAAATTAGGATCTCCCTAAAATACAGAAGGTACAGAATAATTAACTCCAATAAGGTGTGAAACATGTCAAAATCACTATACCCTGACCAAAGCTTGACACTGGTACCACTGGTTCATATCAATGTTTTAAGACTGATGCCCTATTAATTAAATTAAGGCAGAGTGAAGTCCCCCTTTCCCCCAAATAAGTTTCTCAACTGAACCACAGTACATGTTCATCAGCAATATCAAATAAGACATTTGTTTAGAATAACTGTAGTAACCTTTAACTTGTACAACAAAACACACTGGCTTTTACCATCAGGCCAAGCTGGATTACTTTTAAGGCAGGTGAGGATTTCTTGACATATAGTTAATGGTGAAAGTTCCATACCATAGCAAAAAATAGTTTTTGGACTTGGTTTCAAGACATAAAAATGCCCAGTGAAATATAATTATGGGCATTTTTGGCTGTGATAGTTGCAGAGGTATCTGTGTGAAAAGTATTCATAATCTCTGACTGACACTCAACACTCAGTTGAATGGGCAATTACTACAGTAGCATTTACAATAATATATAGTTTAATTTTGTTCATTATATCAATGCCAAGTATACTTTTAAAAATGTTACACTTTGATTGCAAACTTGAGCTTGTATTTTTTAAACAATTCAACCATTCAAAATATCACCAATTTAAATTTTTTTTTGAACAACCATTAAAAATATTCATGCATTCAATGTAGCCCTTACCCCATGGTAACTCTGAGCACCCAATAAAGAATGAAATATATACATAACAATAGATTAGCAAAACTTTGATAAATGATATTGAGCCCCAATACCAATAATAAAAAGTTGGCATAATTAACATGGGATCTCTCTCTCAAACAGAAGCAAAGTAGTGTTTTCGAATGGCAGGGCAAGAAATTCTGGTAATTGTTTTTTTGGAGGTGTTGTATAAACTGTTGGAAAGTTCAGAATCTGCTGTATACAAGTATGCAATCTCTCTAATGGTAATGCATTTCAGTCAGGAGTATTGAGCAATCAAAGAAACATGGGGTTTTGAAGTGGCTGCACTAAATTCTTAGCAACGGTCACACAAACACTAAATTATTATATCTTTTTTTTTGATTCTCAAATTAAATGATGAGATCTTTCTTCATTATCTGTTTCAGGTTGAAGATCTTGTTGCTCTTCTGATCTGGCAGAAAGCTATTCCAACTATCAATGATATCCTTCTTAGCACCAAACATATTTTTGAGCACTGCCACAGCATTTTAGGGCTTGATAGATGAATTTTGGATTTGCCTCAACAAGGGCTGTCAAAAAAATCCATTTTGATCATATCCACAACAGTAAAGGTTGCAAGTTGAACATTTGAGAACCTTGTACATGCAGATAATCATGGTCAGAAGGATTTTTAGCTAACTGCTGAGGATCTACTGGGCTCTTTTCTGAGAAACAGATGCAATGATAGGCAAAAAAAAGGAGGCTCATGTAGCAGACACATCAGTTACACACAAAAAAAGTACTGTCATTAACTATGGGGTTTCTGCTGATGATCTATCTAGTCATAATGGTCAATTTTTGTCTGATTTAAAAACTGCAAAGTACAATCATCATATCTTATTGTATGCTACATCCTGTATAGGTTTCATAAAAATCAAATAATTTTTGATTTTTTATGTCTGATCCCTGTCACTGAGGCACCTCTGGTTGAGGGAGAAATTCTGTGTTACAATTATTGTCAGAATTAAAAAAAAAGACAAAAAGTGTTCAAAGCAGTCATCCTTATCTTCAAAAGGATAACAAGTAATATATTGACTTGTTTGAAAGAGTTCAGAGGGATGCTACTTGGATGATTCCAAGAATGAAAGGGTTATTTTATGCTTATAGTTAAGATACCTTAGCTTTTGACGCGAGAAAAGAAGGGCAAGTGTGAAGCTTACAAGAGTATCTGTGAGATACTGATTTCTTTGTGCTATATTCTGAAGACAACAGGATGAGAGCACACAAGCTTTAAGATTCGGAAAAGACAGGCTATGCATCATTGAAGAAAGTTTTACATTTCTAATATGATTATTAGCTTATGATATGTGAACTTAAAGGTACATCCTCTAATTTAATGTGTGAGTTATAAAAACAAACAGGAAGTCAGGTACTGTGTTCAAAACTTCTGGCTGATGTTTGGCAAAATAATCAAATTCTTATATGTTAAGCACTCACTAGATTAATCAATTAGAAGTACTTTGTTAAGAATACACCACTTAAAACAGGGATAAATATTCTTTCAAAAATTACAGATTTTTTCCTGTACACTAAATTAAGGGTCACAAAATTTTTTCTCCAATTTTTCACTGTGTTTGACTGCTTAACAATAGCTGCATAGCTTCAGCAACAAAACTCAATAGCCAATATACAGTTTCTTCTTCCATATTTTTCTATTCCCCTATTTCCTTTCTCTTTCCTTCTTCATTTTTCTTTCTCCTTTCCTTTCCAATTTTTTTACTTTTCCTCTATCCAAAATTCTTTCACAATTTTTCAAAATTATTCCCATATTTTAAGGACACTTATTTGAAAAAATATTCACCCATGACTTAAAGACACTATCATTATTTGTGTAAACAACAAAAATATCAGCCTTCAACCTAGAATGGGAATAATACATGACTCATGTCATAGCCAAACATTCACACAAGTATGCAACTACACAGTGGCTAGATATCCAGCAATCGAGAATGATCTTTCAAATACTAAATACCCAGCAGTCCAAAAATTTGAAAATTGATGAGCTACGATCACCTCTCACTTGACTTAGAGAATGAATAATAGTAAATTATGAGACTGATTTGTCTTCAAACTTGATGAAATGATCTGAACAAAACTTTTGCAATGGAAAAAATAAATATCAATCACCATTCTTGTTTAATGTCAATGGGCATGTGTTTGATATAAGTTGCTGGGAATGATCCTCGAAATACTACATACCTGGCAATACACAATTTCATGATCATCAATATTGATAAGCTTCCAATATAATAATTTGTAATAATATAATTTTTTGAAATTATTATTATTGTCATTACTGTTATCATCATCATCATCATTATTATTGTTGTTGTTCTTTGATCATACTCTCTAAGACTTTTCCTACTATAGAATTAAGATTAACTGGTCTGTAATTTCCAAGATACTCCTGTCATTCTTTTTAAAAATAAGATGATTTTCCATGATTTCCAGGACCCATATGCAACATTAATTAACACTGTACAAAACAATTAAACAATAAATGAATATTTTAATATTTTAGTTATGATAAAGCAAAAACCAATGCTACAAAATAATGGCAATAACCCTCCTCAGTTCACTTATAAATCAGGCATCTGATGATTCATCATGCAAATTAAAATACATTTGACCTATGTTTGTAAATAAATAGATAGCAACAGAGACATTGCGTCTTTATAGATAATGAAATGTCACTTCAGCATTAAGTTGGAGTATGGTCACCACAAACAGCACCACTGATGTTACCAGGGAGTGCAGAAGATCCTGAAGTACCTTTGCCACTCCCCTAAAAGCATTACCAGTATTTGGAGCCACTTGACTGGATGTGACATCTTTCAATACAAATTTAAAAGTCCCAGAAATCCAGTGAGTGTGCAGGCAATACCATTAAGTCAATCCTCTCTTCCTCAATAAATGCACTGACAAATTTGGAAGAGCATGATTAGGTTATTATTAACCATTACATTGGTGTTAGGACTAATTGCTCCAACACTTTACAGTGCATAGGGTCACAGGATGTGGTCCCTATAATGTATGGCAAGTATATTAACGGATACTGGTGATGAGGTTTTTGCTGAGCTTTTAAAAGTTTTCTTCTCTTAGAACAGACCTTATTCGTATTATTCCTGAAACTGAGCATTCTAAATATGGCCTGTATTTTGTAAATATTAATCTGTTGGTGGTAAATACAAAGATTAAAAGATTAAAAATAAATAAAGTACCAGGGCCAATAAAGATTTTTCAAACAGTTTTGGAGGAGGTCAAAGATGGGGTCAACAGACAGTGGATGGGTAAGAGAGGACTAGATAGTTGCTAATGTTACTCCTATTTTTAAAGAGTGGTAAGAATTGCCTTGAAAATTACAGACCTGTTAGTCTTAATTCTATAGTTGGAAAAATTCTGGAGAGTGTGATGAAAGAATTACAAAAACATTTTGAAAAATATGGTATCCTAAATGATAGTCAGCATGTATTCAATTGTGGTTTCAAAATTGGCTGATACCTGGTACTTGTACTTATATATTATTTATGTAGGTACCAGCTGCAAACAAAAAAATTAAAAATTCCTTTTCAATTTCCTTATAAAAAGTGTTTCAATTTATGAGAAAAAAAATAGAAAGTAATGAGTTATTCATAGCATTTCCAACATCAGACTCAATTGAGATCTTAATAGTTCCTATAGAGTATTCTACACCTTATTTTGATAGTGATTACAAATATGGTAAAGAGAAAAAGACACTTTTTTCAATTTTTCAAGCCTACACAACAGAAAGACATGGATACTTATGATTACAAAAAAATGTCAGTTACAGTTTGATTATCTTAATTACTAACTATTACTAATCAACTTTTATGATAAATTCATGTTGCTAGTGTTTTATTGTATCCACATGTCTCAGAAATATGAAGTGTCCCCAAATAAATGTGACCAATTCACCAATCTGTTGTGTTCTCATCCATTCATTATTGTTTTTCCAGAACCATATTGAGGTGGGAATTACACATTTTTATGATATTTGATTTAACCTATGCTCACAATATAATTATACAGTCTGCAGAATATATGAAGGACTTTTTTAAATTTAGATGTTGATCTGTGGTCAAGATTACTGTAAAATTTTCAACTGACACATTAAATAACCTCCTCAAAGACAAAAATACTTTTCTGATACTAACGATAACAGTAACAAACAGTGTTCTGAACAAAACCCAGACCTCTGAGGAAGATGTTATGTGAAACTTTACTACATATCAAGAACAAACACCAGAACAGTTGTTCTTTATGAAAATTCATGATACATGTAATGCCAAGACCACAAATGTGTCTATCATATCCCTTCAGCTTGATGAACCCTAGTAATGGACAAAAGGCCTCTTTGGCACTGGATATAGCAGATGTGGTGGCTAACATACTATAAGTTATAACATATTCTCCTATGCTTTCACTCATGGGTTCTTAAAATCATCCTCTCTATATATAGAAAGGCAAATAAATATTAAATAATACAGCAAATGTAAAAGGTCTTGAATGTTAACTATTAATTACAAATGATAAATTTGTACACAATCTTAAAATAATTTAATTTGTCACATAATATATTTATTACTTTTGTAAAGTGCAAAAAGTAAGTTCATTGATTGCACAATATTGACACAGAAATTTGTTTTTTTACATCATTCCTCCGTACTAAGAAAATGCTGTAAAAAAGTGTGCTAGCAGTTACGTAAAAAAACGTGTTATTTAATTCTGGTCAAGGATAAAATTACCCAGTTTCATTTAATAATATATATATATAATATTAGAAGTTAGTAAAAATAAATAAAATGTATACTATTACTAATACTATTACCTGTTAAGATTTCCCTGGGATTTCTTAGACTTCGGTTGTCTGCGATTGAAATCACGAGAGTGTGGCAATGTTGACGCATACCCATGTTCAGCTTCTGCAAACAGAAATTTTAAAATTATAATTGAAAACCACGTATATATACATCTGTCAATAAGATTTACACGATAGGCCTAGCAAGCAATGCAACCAACGTGCTTTTCACGTCAAAATCAGCTGATCAATTGCCGCCCTATAACACACAGTAAACTCAGTTAAATCGCACTCGTACAGCACCATGTTGATTTTCCTTTACTTTTGAACTCTTTACTCTAATATTAAAACAAACACCGATCACATATATTTTTACAATACTCACCTCTTTCTCTTCGATCCAAATATTCAGCAGCTAGTAAAAGTGCGGCAATACTCATTTCAATCAAGTACAAGAACACTATATAACTCAATATATACACGAATATGGCGATCCCTTCTTCCGAACACTTTTATTACATACAACATCCTCTGACGTTTGTTTTGTTTGGAGTTAAGAATAATAAATCCGACTGTTAGTCGGCATGAAACTTCGGGCGTATTCGTACTTTTTTTTCTTTTTTAGCTTCCCCAGTATGTCATAGCTCATTGGTCAATTCATACAAGTCTATTTTTCGGAAACTTTTCGGAGGAAGTTCGGCATTACTGACCAATCAATGAAAACATTTGTACGACAGTTCTCTCACAAGTAATCCACGTGCTTATCATGCCATTTGAGGTACGATTTCTTGAAAATTGGAAAAGCCAAGCTTCGGGAACGCTAATTTATAAAATAACTGCACATGCTTAGTTCAGAAAATATCTGGAAATTTTATAGCACTGATTATCTTATTGAAAATTAAATCTCAACATTTCACCACAAACTCCTTAATGATTAAAAGACTGTTCTGTCATGGCAAACGAAAACAAATGTCAATATTTCATATCCAAGAGATAACAAGGCATCTTGTCTACCTAATTTTCTACTGCTATTATACTAGTATACTCCAAACTCTATATAATAATCCATTTGCTAATCTCCAACCTTGATTTCTAAAATACTTGTCGAATTCTAAATTAGGTTTGATGAAATGCAGCTGTTCTAAATTGCTAGTTTGATAATTAAATCCTTCAAAATATTTGGCTTTCATAATCGACGCATGATGTTCTTTGCATCAAAATAGTTAACATGTAATTTTAGTTTTTATATACAACTCTACAAAGAACTTACACTGGAAAAACTTTTGTTTAAGATTAAATTGAAAATAGCGGAATTTGATATAAACATAGAAAGAGAGAGAAATTTGGTAGTTGACTATATATCCCTACTGACATAACCAGCATATATGCCAATTTAGCTATGATACTGGCCTACCCTGGTCTTACTTGTTTCAAAATGGGCCTCTGATAGTTTCTGGTCTTAAATGGTTTTAGCAACCAGCTTCCAACATAATCGTTAGTTTTTTCACTGGAAATCATGTTCGTTTGTTAGTTCCAGTTGGTTTAGAAGCTGTAATATTGTAATTGGATGTATATGATAGGTATATACGCCCACTGTTAAAACAATATAATATTGTTGCGTCATCGAGATCACGTGACAATTCTCACGCCCTCTTGTTT